CATTATCCGTTTCTCTGGCATCCTCTGACCTCACTGATGTGCTACTCAGGTGAGCTGAATAATTGTAGTAGAACAACTGTTAAAATACCACCGAGTTACTTATTTTAAGATCGATTTACATTCCCAAAAGTTGTAGTGGTTGAGAATTATCCACAGGAACGTTCTTTATTGAGCACATTATTTCGGTTTGCAGAAGTCGAAGTCAGCTCCGTGTAGACAAATTGTTTCTCCTTTAATCGCGAGAGTACTTATTACTCGCTCTCATTTTAGAAATCCATTACCACTGTCGAAGCTGGTTACAGAGCCACTTCAAGTCCATTCTCTGCCCCGAAAACCCTCTTGGTTCACTGTCAACGACGAAAGACGAACGATCTTTGTGGTAGATCCTCTCATTCCTCCTTCATCTCTTTCCTCTAGATGTTTGATTCTATTTGCCGTGTGTACATCATGGAACGCGTCACGACCATCGACGAAGAAGGGGAAGAAGTGGATGAAAGTCTCTAGGTCACACATGTACTTTTCACTTGTAATAAATGCATTGATGTGTCAGATCCTCCCAACTGCTTAACCTTCCTCTTCATTAATGTGCAGCAGTTCTTGCAGACTATTGTATTGTTTGCAATTGCAGAAATGGCTTGTGATATCACTCGAGTCTTCACTAGTACTGTTCGTGCTTTGTCGACCTCCGTATCTCGAAAATCCTCTACCGTCTCCTCCGCTGCTACAGAGGGAAAGGCCTCGCCACCAGCCACCGATTCCTTCTCGTCACGCGCTCGTCGCCTCCACGCTGAGTTGGTGACTGTACGGAAGCACCTTGTTCATGCTGGTGAGTTGAGTCGTGCGCTAGCCACTAGTGACGCCTCTCTGCAGCGAACGTATCACGAAGTTGTGATGGTGATAAACAACACCCTGGAGCAGTGTGGACAGTTGTTGCAGCAACTGCAACGATTCCGCGGTGAGGGAGAGAGGGATAAGGGGCAGGCGAGTGAACACCGCAAGGCGGTATGTCGGTCATTGGAGGCGTTTTCAAAGTCACTACAGAGAGCACGAGATGAGCAGGTGGGTCTTCACTTCCCCCTTTTCTTTGAGATTTTATTGGGCAGGGATACCACTTTGGTACGATAGTACGCGTGTTACGAGATTCTAGAATGAAAGTGTTCCATGGAACTATGTTAGAAAAAATTGTGCTTGCTTTGTTGCCTATCTATTTTCCTCTTCAGTTGTTGATTTGATTTTGGGGTAGTCGTTCTAGAAGTTCAGTTTCCCTTGGCTGAGGAACACGTTATTAATTTTGTTGATAATCAAGTTGTTTTCCATCACAGGTATCTACCTACTGTCGCAGAGTGGAGCTGGCTTGTCGTCTTGGTGAAATTTCGCCTCCTCCTCATCAGAAATCTAAATTAGGTAATGTCATTCGTAAACGCAGCGGGGATGGTGCTGGAAGAAGCGGTGGTGGTGACACTAGCTGGCTCTTTTCCGCATCACAAAGTGCCGAAGCTCTGCCACCAGACTCTCTTTCAGAGGGAGAACTAAATCAATTGGAGATGGAGAACGCAGAGGTTTACTTACACTTCCTCTCGGAACGCAATGAGATTCAACGTCTAGGCAGCCAGATTTCGGAGATTGGTCGCTTGCAAGCCGTGGTGACAGAGAGTTTGGTGGAGCAAGCGGAGGTAATTCTCGACTCAGCCCCAATCTCTAATTGTTTTCATTTGTAGTAGGCTGCAAATATTTTCTTGTATGCGTACGTGCGCGTATTTAGATGGCGCAACACATCGGTGAACAGGTTGTGGGTTCCACGGAGTTGGTGAGGGAGGCGAATGAGCATCTAAGGCAATCAATGGATAAGACGAGGAGTGTGCGATTTTGGATCATCTTCATCCTCCTCACACTCACTTTCTCGTTACACTTTCTTGATTGGTACAGTTGATTTGCCGACTATCGTTTTGCTCCATTATGGTTTTATAGGCGCCATTATTTTTTCTTCCTTGTCTGTAAAGCAATAGAGTTCGTTCTCACTTCAGACAGATCACATACAAGCGAAGTTTCATGTGTGTTACTGGTGCTTTGTCGCTCACGTACAGTTTGGGAGGAAAGAACGGAAGCGAGCTACTGCTTTGAGGATTTGACGCACGAATAGGATGTCGATTCTCAATTTGATTGTGAACTATCGGCCCGCTTTGGATGTTGTACGAGGGGGTTTTTTTGTCAAATGAGAACCGCAACCAAAGAGTGAACACAAAATGCAATGCAGTTTGGCGATCTGAGGCCACCACACGGCATAGCAGTCTGCAAACGGAATGACGGTCATTGGCTTTATCATTGCTGATCACAAGTGATGTTGATGCGCGGGATGCCTCGCGGTGATAAAATAAGGAATGCTTATGGGAAGTGCTGAAAGAGGTATTCGAAATGAGTGGTATGATGCTAATCGTTCGGTGGGTGTAGGTGGTTATCAGGACTTCTTTGATCTTGTGTGCCAGGATTTCAATACCGTTGGTGTAGTTCTTGGTTTGCATTGTGGTGGAGCCTCAGGGCTTTGGCTCTGTGGTGCTGGAACCGTCCAGAAAATCTGTTCCATTTGGATAGATGAAAATTATTGGTTGGAGTCTCCTTAGGATTGATACCAAGCCAATGCTGAACTGTTTCTCATTCCCAAAGTTAGTTAATAGCATTTGTAGTGTAGTAAAATGATTTTTAGCTGAAAGGATATTAACTCAGGCATGAATTTCGACTTATGATGGCAGTCTCTCATCAATGCTTCGCGATTGTTAAGCATTTATTTTGCTTTGCTATGATTGCAAGAATGGAAAAAGGTAATGCAGTAGATAGGTGAAAAAAAGCGTATCGACTTTGAATCCATGTGAAGTGTAAGCCTTATTTCTCATTCTCTTGCCTACCTCCTTACGGTTCTCATGCATTTATGCGAACCTGCTAAGCTGGAAGGGCTTCAATTTACCTTCCTTTTTCACTTCGGCGTAGCCCGGCTTTTGTTAAACCCCCAGGTCTTCTCGACGCTAAGACATCTTCTCCGTGTAAAAAAATTAAGTTCCGCAGAAGTGTGGTCTCAGTAAAAGGAGCTCTAAGTGTCGTCAGGAAAGAGTAACTGGATGGTAAAGTTCGTGTTGTCCTGAGCTCGCCCAGAATGCGATATTGACAACTTTTTTTTCTGCGCAAAGCTCAAGCTGTAACGTGCTGAGATTCCCTATTAGGTAGTGGAGGACACTAGGTAGGGCTCAATGCTCGTATTCAGAGAGAAGGGGGAGAGGATGTGCTTTGGCTTGGCCCACAGTCTAGCCCACACAGCAAAAGTAAGGTGAACATTGAAGTCATCGCAAGTTCTGCAGGTAGTCAAATAAACAAGGTGTTACACAGGCCATCATGAATTCTGAGAAGGGGACAAAATCCAACAAAGCATCACGCAATCACTTTGGTGATCGCGATCCTTGTTCGAAACTGACGTACAAAAGGTAAGGAAAGAGGAGAACTCCACTCAACGCGCAATAAGTATTTCGGCAAGTTCACAAAATCGATGGTGAAGTTTGGACATCGAGGGATGCAAGCCGGTAATAACAACTGCTCAGACGCATACCACCACAATGATTTCATAATGTAAAAAAGGCATCTCGAACCTATCCGACTGTAGAAATGGAGAAAAGCGGTCTTACCCTATGGTTGCGCATCGATTACAGGAGGCTAAATGCTCTGACCGAGAGGGACGTGCTTCCTTTGCCTCGCATAAGTCACACAGTAGATTCTCTGCAATGAGCTGAGTGGTTCTTAGTACCGGCTACGAAATTTTGGTGGTAAAGAGGCAAAAAATAAGAAAAAGGTATAGGGGAGGATACGCATCATTGTACACTCCATCCCAAAAATGAACGAAAGAAATGACAAACGCACAGCTAAAAAGGAAATTTATGCTATAGATACAGTGGTCGGACAATTAGATTCTGAGATGATTGGAAACAATGAAGCGGACCTCCGGAATGAGAAGCTGCAGCAGTACAACTTCGATGCGTATTACAAGGAAGGCGGTGCATACGGCAATGGAGATGTACTACCCGCACACTCTTAGGCGGATAAAGATGACAATACAGAGAACAGCTTACTTTTGGCTCAGTATCACGGAACGGAACGGAAATACTTCTGTACCCTTTCCATCACTACATTGCAACTCCCTCTGTGACTATTCCCGCACGAGACTGCTTACCTACTGAGCTTTATTAGGCATCTCATTATGCGATCAAATTTAACTTTTAGTGTTTCGCCTCAGAAGTCCATTTTAAACTAATAGGCATTATGGTTTCGTATGCTGCACAACCTGTATGGGTGGATACGTCAGATTTAATGCCATGCTAAAGGCCCTCAGACTCCAAATCCTGTTTTCACTCTGATTAAGACTCTAAACACAGTTAAAACCGTGGCATGAGCACTGACTGGTGCAAATGGATCGTATGTGTCTTCTTGCAGCAGCGATTGTGTAGTAATGGGTGGATCGGAAGACTTGTAACTGAATAGGAGGAGTCGTGTTCAATCTCATTTATCCAGCTGCTTGAACTAGTAGTGGGAGTGGCGGTGATAGTGATTTCGCTGTGCTGATTGATCTTTGAGGTATGTCGAAAGCCCCATTTCTTTACTTTACATTTAAAAGTATGCACTCCACTACTGCATGTTGTTTATATGATCACCTGAGTCTGGGGTTACTTTGGCTCAATACCTTTCGCTTCTCTCAGAATTCAAGCATTCAGCCAAACTCAATGTTTTCTGTTGCATCCTTGATAGGCACTATGGCAGCATCTCTTACCCTGATATCAGATTTATGTACAACGCCTTCATAAGCAAAGGATCACTCTGAGAAGTTTCATTCGCCATCTGATGCCCAGCACAGGAAAATTGGGACCTTAGGCAGTGCGAAATCCTCCATAAAAACAGTTAAAGCATAAAATACACCACAGCCGTTTTTAGATGCCAACCAAAATCTTACACCTCCGGAGTAATAGTTAAACCTTAAACTTTTAAATTTCATCTGTCAAATTTGGTCGACCAGTTGTCTATCTGAATTGAATTACTGGCACATTAATGACTTAACCAATGAATTCGTGCAGAGCATGCTTAGGCACGTATGTAGGTTGTTGAGGTGTGGTACTGTGTTTTATGCCCATCATAAGGGTTTATATTTTAACTCTTAACATTCTTTTGCAGCTATCATGTCGCTCTTTTCACCACATATCTTCACTTGCCTTCAACCAGATAAGAGCGTTACATGCTACAAAGCACCATGAGCAAATATTCTTAACCGGAATCCAACCCACTGGATACCCTCACCTGGGTAACTACTTTGGAATGATAAAGCCCTGCGTAAAACTACAAGGAAGGAGGAATGTGGATCGGTTCTTTCTATTGATTGCTGACCTGCATGCCTTAAGCATATATGGTTCTGTCGTTGATCGGATCCAAGCTACTCTCCAATTGACCTCCGCACTTTTGGCCTGTGGTATCGACCCTGTGCTAAATTCTGAAGACTCGACTTCTAAAGGAAAAACGATTCTCTTTCCCCAGTCAAGCGTTACTGGTCACTGTGAATTGGCTTGGATTCTGGCCTCCCACTGTACTGTCAACGTAAGTCCTGCCTTCAGTTTCCTAAGCCTTTTGATGGCTAAAATTGTGTTGATCGTCATTTTTTGGCACTTATTGACCACTAAAGCTGTGTCAGCTGTTTGTGTGTAATAATAAAAATGAACGAATTACCGAGTAACTTATTGTCATTTGGATAAAACACGGCGACTAATAACAAATGCTTGCTAATGAGCGCTATCCTTTTCCGTTGTATTTGTTGATCCTTGGTTCCCTTGCTCTTTGATTTTGTAATCCGAACCATTGTTTATCGCGTAAGTTATCCCTTTTGGCACTCTGTGTTTCTGCTATTAATGGATAGGACTGTTGACTAGAGGTATGATCGAAAATAACTTAGTGCCATCATGGGTGCAGTCAGCATAATAATGGTCGTAATCGGTGTCCGTTCAATTTAATTCCATCCATTAATGGGACTGATTTATCAAATCCATCAAATTTTGAAACTTGCAGAATGCTATACATAGTTGGACACACATTGTTGAAGCCGAACAATTTATGCTTATTCCTTCTTAGCTTCAGATTTTACGGATCTTTAGACTACTGGGATGGAGGTCAAATCATATTAATAGGAAAAGACCAGCTTACCGTCATCAATAATACACAGATGAGTTTGAAGGACTGTTACTAATCCTGTATATTATTAGTGGCAAGACTGAGTTTAATACCAGATGTGCACGTGATTGTCTATGTAACCAAGGTGACCCAAACTCTTCCGGTTTTTTTCATCCCCAGCGCCTGGCGCACCTGCCTCAGTGGCGAGCGAAATCAGAGGCAGCAGGAGAGGCCGGTGCCTCTGTTGCTCTCTTCACCTATCCCCTCCTTATGGCGGCTGATGTGTTACTCTACGCCGCTGACTTTGTGCCTGTTGGCTCTGACCAGGTTACGCATCTCGAACTCATTCGTGACCTCGTTCGTGCTACATTGACCTATTGGCCAGCTCTCCAAGGTCTTATCAAGTCTCCCCACATGAATTTGGCCGAAACGCCAAAGGTGAATGTGTTATGAATCTTAGGCCTGTGTTTTTGTACCATCTTGTGAACCTGTTCAGCAAGAGATCGGTAACATAAAGTGGTAGAACAAATGATTGTTGGTTTCATAACTATGATTTAACACTATTATGTTCCCATTCGACTTCTTTTGTGCTATTGGTACCTCATGCCCTTCCTTGCCGCCTCGAGGCTTTGCGAAAACAACCAATCTAGTTAGATATCGGGCTTCCCTTGCGAATGGATTGAGCTGCCTTATTTGGTTCCGATAAAGTGTGTTGCATGTTGCACGTTTTTGTAAAGATATGCAGTATGGTTTCCATTCCTTATGTTTGAGAAGCTTACTCTGTATCTAACTTATTACTATGCCAAAAGAATCGCGGAAATACAGGCTGTGGCTTTAAGCCTTTTCATTTCTAAACCCTTCAGTTTGTGATTGGTCTGGAAGGCTTCTGAGCTTTTATTCGCAGATTTCCGTAATGCATGTAGTCTCACTTGAAGTGCAGGTTTGTCGGTCATTCAGAAGATTTGGTAAAATGGAAACATTTCAATTATGATTCAAAAGTTTGGCTTTTTTTGCATCTCCTGTATGTTTGTTCCCTGAAGGCTAAAATCCTTTTATGTATGCTGTCAGTGAAACCTCGACATCGTTGTCTGAATTACTAAACTGAAGGAGCTAAGGTAAAGTATTGATAGGTCTTTAGGTGCCATGATGAGTGTCCCTTTGTCTCATTATGGGGTTTTGTCCCCTTCACTGGGACCATTAATTTCCCTCGAATATTACATTTCCACTGTCTCTAACCTCCTACCGTTGTGAAATCTCAATCTCATCTTCTCACAATTACTTCAACAAATTATTGCAGTTGACTTTTTATTGTTTTCTCATTCCCTTTAAAACCTATCATGTTAGTGTTTGTAAAGAAGGAACGGTACCACTGTGTCTAGATATACAATCTTCGGGATCCAACGAAAAAAATGAGCAAGTCACTGGGTCCTGAATTTGGCACCATTTGGTTAACCGACTCTCCTGACACAATCCGATCGAAGGTGACGCGTGCACAGACCGATTCTATCCGTCATTTGGCCTACGATCCCGTGGATCGACCTGGCGTGGCCAACCTCATGCAGATATTTGCAGCAGCGAAGGTTGGACGAATTTTGAACTTTACGAGAATTTTTCTGCTTGCTTTATTAAGTAGTAATTATTATTTGGCCTTGTTTTTAAGGGCATCCCGGTCCAGGAGGCGATAGAACAGTTGGTAAAATTGTCGAAGGTGGAGCTCAAAAACACTGTTATCGATGCCGTCATAGAGGAACTAACGCCCATTCAAGCAAAATTAACGGAATTGGAGCGCTCTGAACTGGCTCAGAATGCTCTTTCGGCGGGATCCCAATTGGCAAATATTGTGGCTTTGCAAAATTTGCGAAAAATTAAAGAAGCGATAGGTTTGCATTGCTACTAGTGCGAGTAGCGTAGATTTTTTTGTAAATATTATGAATTTTAATTTATTAATCAATAAATTTTCCCAAGGTTTAAAGAGCATCAATTTCATTTCGGAACGGGAGCCATCTTAAAGTAAGGATTAGAATTCTAGCATTTTTTTTGCAGTTTTAGAGCGTACTGTAAGCATGTGTTCGAGCATTCAACAAATAATTTTTCTCCAGCTGGATTTAAGCTTCTTTTTTGGAAAGTGCAGGTTATTTTGGAGGAAATGTCGAGTCTGTCATCCTTTGGGCATTAGCTTCCCGTTGAATAAGTTGCCAAAGACACGAGTCATACACCATAAGTGCTTCCTTCGTATTCTAGCCACAGCAAGGCCCAAGATTCTCAAATGTGCCGCCTTTTGAATAAAAGGTGAACAATGGCTGGTCGAATGCATTGTAGTGGAGTTCCACGCAAAATGGGGCTATTGTTCGAGCATAAAGTTGGTTTGCTGTGGAGTACGGAGATTACTGTCTGGATAAAATGTGAGGTGCGCCGAGGAGCCTCGGAGAAAAACGTCCGACGCAGTCAGAGCATTAGCATGGACGATTTTTCTTTTGCAATTGCTACTATTCCAACAAAATTTTTATTCATGCAAGGGAGATTTATGTCGTACCACTGCGAGCGCTGAACTCTTGTTTAATATCCTTTGGTTTGCAAAGTAGTGAACTAAAATAAGTGTGGTAAGTTTCCTCTTTATTTGCTCCATGAACGCATTGGTTTCCAAAACGCTGTCCCTTATTATAAATTTAGCTTGCTTTAGAGGGAAATGTTGTCTTGGGTAGAGGTCTCGTTCAGCCGATAAGGAGAAATAAATTGAAAAACAGTAAATCCTCTTGAAGTGAACTAACTTCATCATGAGTATAAATGTCTCTCTTTTTTGAAAACATGATCCCACTAGAGTGTACGGGAGAGAGGTTCATTCCTATCAGATGGGGGGAATAGATGAATATCTCGTTGGGAAACTAGGCCAACATGAAGACTAAATCGCAACATTTCAACATGCTGAAAATGTTTTGGTAACTTAATACGTGAAAGCTAAATGCGTTCTGGTTGGGAGAAGGTAATTTTACACAACGATTTCCCAAACTTTTCCACCGTCAAGTCCACCAGATACATTGAAACTGGAGTTATGCAAGCATTTCAACTTCTGCTCTTTGACAATAGTGCCGCTAGTGTAAGTGGAATCGAACTAGTTTGTTAAAACGCATTTTGCCAAACGCCTCCTCCGAAGGCTTTGTCATGGGCGGCAAGCGTTGCGTAAATTCATTTCTTGGCCAAAGCACTTCCACTCCTACCGTGGCAAAGGGGGCAGGTAATGGAGTTTTAAAGCTTTGCTCCATGTTTTACAATTGTTTCGAATTTTCCATGCAAAAGAAGAGGGAGCGCGTACCATCAGCACCAGTGTCGAACGCGTTTCGTGCCAACTCCCTGATCTGCCACAGCAACCGGTGATTCAGGTCTTTTTGTATAAAAATTTCTGCAAGTCCTTTTTGTTCTTCAAATACTGCCGACGGGAATGTCGGATGCAAATGGGGTAATCTACGGATGAAGACCTCTATCGCGCCGATCTCCCACTTTAGCTGTCTGTTTCGCCTACTCGGTGCATGGCTTGGCCATGATGCTTCCGAAGTAGGAGGTGATCTCTGCAGCCTACCAGGAGCTCCGCTCGTTCTGCTGATCCCTAAAGTTAAAACATTATCAGTTAGGTAGTATCAAGACGGAGATGGTGCACAATGCTTTCCCTTCACTTATTGTAGATATCGAAGTTATGGCTAATCCAATCCAAGTCATTCTAACTGCTCTTCCGAAAATGATAAATTTATTCAGCTAATTCCTCGCATAACTCGCATATTGTCGCGTAGTGTATAACACAAAATTCAGTTTTTATGCCGCAATAGCAGATGGCAAGATTTCCTGATTAAAATTTCATGGCTAAGAGAGTTCGCCTGTCAACACTTTGTGGCGCCTATGATGTTGATGTTTAAATTAATAAAAAACGACCTGCTTTCCGATCCCACAAGATACCACACATTTGCTGAGAGGGCGGCTACTAGACAGAAGGCTTGTAAAAATCTTCAAATTTTCCTGATGGAGGAAAAAAAACGTTCTAAAACTTATGCATTCATTACGCTAGAATGGCAATGTAAGTTTTTAGGTCATGGCAATGGAGCAGGCTCATTCAAATGGTTTAGCTGTCTACTACATGCCCCTGAAGTGGCTGTAGCCTTAACCACATTGATCTAAGTGGACGTGTCAACTGTGGATCAAGTGATTTGCCACTTCTTGCTGATTGATTAGAGGATGTCCAAATCCTACTCTTGAAGCTGGAAACCAAATAATCACCACTATAGTAAAAGTTTAACAAGAACCCTGTAACATATGCTAGTATGTTTAGGCTTACCTTTATAGGGATGGGACGAGAAATCAAATCAAACACAGTCCGCTGCGTGAGGGGTGGAAAGATTCCTTCAGCCTTATAATTCCTCCTCCATTTCCTTACTTTTTGTACACGATGTCGAATAAAGCTTCCTCCACTAACCCTCTCCTGAAGTCCGGGATTCAGAGGCCTGAGGACGAGGACTCTACAAAACCACCTAGCTTACACATACAGTCAGCGATTCTTTTGTTCAGAAGTTAACGAAGTAGAAGTGAATCGAGATTTGTAATTTTTTTTGGGCTTAAATTCTAGACTTGCAGTTTTTGCGCTTATCTGCCATTCATGGCACATTATATATTATTTACAAAGTAAGTTTGATTATTTCGATATTTGGCTTTCCACCTGTGTTTCTGCCGACTTTGAAGGGCACAGGTATTAGGAGTGACTCTCCTACAGTTTGCTCCAGGTGTTTTGTGCATAAATCGGTCAAAGATTAAGAAGCACTAATTGAGGTTTACGTCTCTATTACAATGATTTTAGCCTTTTCTCACCCAGGCTTGGAGAAATAGCAGTTGATATTGGTATAATAGAATGTGCTTGCTTATTTCAACGAACCTTACTGATATTCTAAGCTTTTATTTTTAAAATAAGGTAGTATACATTTGGTTGTTTTGGACCAATCAAATCGGGGCATTTGAGCTGCCGGCGATTGGTTGATTTGACGATGTAAATACCGATAAATGTGCAACGATGCATGGTGGCTGGTGCATTACAAGGAGAAGCTCCACTTGTATGCAACCCATTCCTTGAAGATCCTTACTGTGTGCAACTGACTGATTCTTGTTTTATTCTTCGTTTCCTAGATTTAAAAAGACCTCTTCTCCAAAATGTTTCCCCAATACGTCAATCTGAAGACCGCTTTTGCTGCTATTACATTGATGCTCCTTCTCACAGGTAATACTGATGTAAAACGCACCATAACTTAATAACGATCAGCTGCTGCAAAAGAGCATTTACACCAGAGAAGGCGGAGAGTCGTGTTATCACGTCTAATATGGGGTTACTTACGTTTGTAAATGGACGAGTGTCAGGTTTCGGCGTTTTCTTCTCCCGCTTTCATAATTATTTTGCGTTTGAGATGTCTTCAAATGTTTTTCTTTAATGGTGGATTGCTCTTTAGACTGGATCTTTCTTTTACACCCTCTGCCTAAGTAAATAGATTGTAGAATGAAATTTACAATATTTTATGGTTTGTTCTCCATTGTTTGTGCGAAGAACCTTTTAGCTGTCAAGTAAGTCCTAGTAATCACTTTTAAACTTGATGAAAATCATGTTGTTTGACACTCCAGATGTCTGTAGCATCATTACTAGGTGAAGGAAAGCCTCACCAAATGCTCCAAAAAATACATCAATAGGATAGACTGGCTTGGTGAGATTGAAATTTTTGTGACCGAACCTCATTATGTGGGAGGATTTTTTAATGCACTACCAGCCAACAGCATTTTCGAGTGGCAAAAAAACTCCTCTTCTCCTTACACAAAGATATTTTTTAAACTGCCTTGCTAACTAATTTGAACCCTCGGTGACTCCCATTGTGATGGATTTTCACCGTCAGATCCGGTGAGTGAGGCGTTGCCGTCGGGGCAGCGCGGTTTGGAGCGCGTGGACTCCGACTTCGAGTTGTCCCCTATGGCGGTCGAACAGGCTGTGGATGAGAGACTCTCCCAGGTGAAGGGCTTTCTCGACGACTACTTTGCTGATCAGAAGGGCCTTAGTGGCACACGAAAACGCGCAATTCGTTTGCTGAGATTGGGGAAGTAAAACTCCCATCTTTACACACCATTTTGCTTAACAACTGTCTCCGACTCACTTTTTTGGCGTCCATTCAAAATACTAAATAAAGAATTTTCGTTACTTCTTCTCTCTTTTGCTTCTATGGGTGGGGAGAATAAAAAGGGTCCATAAAGCTTGTAGAATTTCTTACAGACAAAATGTGAGTCCATCTATGCGATCTGAGATTTCGAGAAGTGGACTTTCGGCTGTAAAGGTGTGCCAAATTTATCACTGAGGCATGACGCACTCCCAAGGGTGTCCGTCGTGTCAGTTTCTTACGGCCTTCGGTCGTTTCGTTCCTGGGGCACAGGTGCTTGTCGCATTTCAGATTGCAAACGTAAAAGAAATACAGCTGATGTGGGACTTACAGTTTTGAAATTTTTCGGCACAAAGTGTTGGTAAATGTTGGTGATGCGTCATGGACCGAAATAAATGACCCCTCAGATCTAGGATTTTACAATAAAGTGGACATTTATTGAATGGTAATTCTGGTTTTAAGCTAAAAGGTGATAAATCGAACTAATTTAAACAAGCACTGCTCCACAAGACGTCTACTAAAACAAAAGGAGCGGAAGTCCTTAAATGTTGAGGAACAGAAGAAGTGGGCGACTGCTGGACGATATTATAAAGGCGAGGACTTTCGAACGGAGGCAAACGCATTCATCCAACCAAGCCGAAGAGTTAAGCGGCTATCCCAAGCAGTTAATGCATTCTGAATTGTGGGCCATTAATGCTTCCCACCGACCTCTTATAGCACAGTTGCAAGT